GCATATTTTCAAGATTAAGGGGGTAAAAACAGCAAAGACTATACTAAAATATTTTCCTACGGTTTTTCTCATGGTATAAAGCACATAACAGAAGCTTGAGAAGAATAAATCAGCATTCAGTACTTTTTTGAGGGGTTAGTGGAATTTTGGTGAAGACAATCTATCAAGAAGTGAAACAGCTGAAACACATCAAGTCTGGTGTTAGAAAGGTGGAAGGTAAAAGTGATTATATAGGAGCCTACCTGCCATTACAAAACCACTCTTTGACTATGGATTAACAGGAAAAAAATGAACTTGCAGTCAGAAAAAAACCTATGTTCCAGTCTTAGTTATGACTTACTGTAGCAAATATTTTAGTTTCTTGGAGACTATTTCTTTATCTGTACCTATAAATGGTACTTTAATTTTTAAAATTATTTACATTTTAGTGATATGATACATCTCTACCAAATAAATGGGAAACAAATGTACATTTGGTTTTAATTACATATGATGATTATACATTTAATTGTGCATATCTGAAAATTGGCTAGTTTTGATTTTAATATATGATCTAGAATGAAGAAATAGAAGGGAACCTGGGTGGCTCAGTTGGTTGAGCATCCGACTCCAGATTTCGGCTCAGGTCAAAATCCCCCAGGGTCGGGAAATCGAGTCCTGTGTCTGGCTCCATCCTGAGCAGGGAGCCTGCTTAAGATTCTCTCTCTCTCTCTCTCTCTCTCTCTGCCTGTCTTCCCCTCTCAACTCTCTCTCTCAAAAAAAAATTAATTAAATTAAATGAAGAAATAGAGAATTCACTTGCTAAAAGTGGTGCCCAAATCATATTCTATAATTAGGATTTCACCCTTATTACTTTGCTTTTCTATCCCTGCTGGTGTTTCAAGAGAGTATTCTATTTGCCTTTATCTTACTGACAATGACACCAGAGTATGGGTTCTTCCAAATTTATATTTTAGAAGTAAAACAGATTAGCTTTTGTTGAGTTTCTAAAATTCTACCTCTAGGATAATAGAGAATGTGGAAATCAATCATACAAAGAACAATAAAACCGTTCAGGGATTTTGATTCTGAAGAAGAGAATTCTCAGGGGAGATGTGACAGAAAAATCATGCAGAAAAAGGATTTGACTTATTAGTTGTAATTTCATTGGTAGAACTGAAGAGATTTGAGCTTAATGGTGGAAGGATTGCTGTTTCTCATATAATGGTAAGGTAGAAGTGATGAAAAGAGCATAGAACTATAGTCAGACATTATTGAGTTCAACTTTGTGTATCCTGAGTGTTAGCTGTCCCATCTTTTATATGGAACTTATTCTTGTATTTTGGAGGCCAATGGAAGTGGTAAGCAGTAAAAGTATTAATTTTGGTTAGTTTTTTTTTTCATCTTCAAAGTCTAAGACACAAAGAAAAAATGTATAACCAACAAGCAACTAGAGAGGAAAAGAGAAATAAAATGAAGTCCTGATTAATCCAAATGAAGATAAGAAAGGAGAGACAAAAATGGAGGAAATATAGAAAAAATAATAAGATTGTAGATCTAAAACAAAATATATTAATAATTTCATTAAATATTAAGGTACTAAATATTCCAACTAAAAGACAAAAATTGTCAAATTGGGTTACAAAAGACTATTCAGGAGCACCTGGGTGGCTCAGTAGGTTAAACGACTGATTTCAGCTCAGGTCACAGTCTCATGATTTGTGAGATTGAGCCCCACATCCAGCTCTGTGCTGACAGTGTGGAGCCTACTTGGGATTCTCTCTCTCCCTCTCTCTCTCTTCCCATCCCCCACTCATACTCTCTCTCTCAATAAATAAATAAATAAACTTAAAAAATACTATTCAATGCAAAAAATACTATTTGATGATTATAAGATATACATCGTATATAGAAGGATACTGAAAGATTGAAAGTAAAAGGATGAACAAATAAACCATACAAATAGCCAAAAGAAAGATGATATACCACTACTATTATCAGACAAATTACATAAGAATTGGATAAATTTTTTGAGACAAGAAGTAATACTTCAGATTAAAAAAGTGGACATTTCATAAGCGTAAAGTGGTCTCTCGAGGCACCTGGGTGGCTTAGTCAGTTGCGCGTCTGACTTCAGTTCAGGTCATGATCTCACAGTTTGTGGGTTCGAGCCCCACATTGGGCTCTGTGCTGACGGCTCAGAGCCTGGAGCCTGCTTCAGATTCTGTGTCTCCCTCCCTCTCTGCTCCTCCCCGACTCATGCTGTCTCTCTCTCTCCTTCAAAAATAAATAAAATCATTAAAAAAAATTTTTAATAAAAAAAAAAAGAGTAAAGTGGTCTCTCCAGCAGGAGGATATAAGCATTCTGAACTTGTATGCATCTACTAGCAGTGCTTCAAAGTGTATCTAATAAATAGCAAAAATTAACAAAGTAGAAAAATCCATAATCAGAGTAGGAGATTTTAGCGTACATCTCTTGGTAACTAATAGAACAAACAGGCAAAAACTTAGTAGGAATAGAGAAAAATAATCTGACCTAATTGAATTAATATAGAATTTAACATACAACAACTGTAGAATACACCCTCTTTTCATATGACCATGTATATGGTCATCTTTCTAAAATCTTCGTATTCAAAAGATTGAAATCAAACAGGGTCTGTCCTCTAGAGTAGACTTAAACTAAAAATCAATAACAGAAAACAAAACTAGAAAAATTCCCTACTTAAATAAATAAAGCAACATGTTTTCTAAATAGCCCATAGGTCAAATAAGAAATCTCAGTGAAGGGGTGCCTGCATGGCTCAGTTGGTTGAGCAGCCGACTTCAGCTCAGGTCATGATCTCATGGTTTGTGAGCTCAAGCTCCGCCTCAGGCTCTGTGCTGACAGCTGAGAGCCTGGAGCCTGCTTCAGATTCTCTGTCTCCCTCTCTCTCTCTCTCTGCCCCTCTCTCGATCACACTCTGTCTCTCTCTACCTCAGAAATAAATAAACATTAAAAAAATTTTTTAAAGAAATCTCAATGAAAATTATAAAATATTATAATTTTATAATATAATAATTTCTTAATCATGAAAATACTACTTATAAAAAACTCACTGGATGTGTTGTTCTATAGTAAGATTGTCTACACTTAATAAAGTGATGGAGAGGGGTGCCAGTGTGGCTCACTCAGTTGAGTGTCCGACTCTTGATTTCAGCTCAGGTCATGATTTCATGGTCATGAGATCGAGCCCTGAGTCAGGCATGGAACCTGCTTAACATTCTCCCTCTCCCTCTGCCCCTCTCCCATGTGTACTCTCTCTCTTTCTCTGAAATAAAAAAAGACAAAAAAAAGAGAAAGTGATGGAGAAAATAATAATGCCAAATAAATTTAAGAGTATATTATGTCCATAGCCATCACATTATCTATGGCACAAAAAATTGAGGAAATATTCTTCCAGCATCAAAAACTATTATTCAGTCCAGCAGTTATTCACATGATTGATGAATGAATGAAGTTCCAATGTATGCTGTCATTTCCTTTTCATCACACTAAATATCAACCAACATTCATATTAAAACTAAACTTGTTCGGGGCGCCTGGGTGGCACAGTCGGTTAAGCGTCCGACTTCAGCCAGGTCACGATCTCGCGGTCCGGGAGTTCGAGCCCCGCGTCGGGCTCTGGGCTGATGGCTCAGAGCCTGGAGCCTGTTTCCAATTCTGTGTCTCCCTCTCTCTCTGCCCCTCCCCCGTTCATGCTCTGTCTCTCTCTGTCCCCAAAATAAATAAACGTTGAAAAAAATAATAATAATTTAAAAAAATAAAAAAAATAAAAATAAATAAATAAAACTAAACTTGTTCATTTATGATGTAACCTATTTCTTTGTTCAATTACATAGTAATCATAGTAGTTATTTAAAGTCTAATTTTTTCAAATATGGTTGAATTTAACCCATAGATGGAAAATATAAGAGTTTAGCAAAAAGCAACAAATGCATTTCCTGAGAATCGGTTATGTGTAATTAACAGTAAAGAGTATTGCATATTTTATAATTATTTCTAAGTTATGTGCTACACTTCCTTTATACCATTAAAATTTGTAATTTTTGTATGTATATATGTGAATACATTTTTTTGAGACTCAATTACTGGTAGGCCACTGGATAGTGTCCTATTTACATAATACACTTCATATAAGACTCTCTGGCTGCCCCAAATTCTAGAATATTAGAGAAACAACAAAACTTAAAGGCCTCTCACTCTAACCTCATTTCACTAGTGTGAGAATCAAGGCCATCAGTCAAGTGGCTCACCCAAAGTTGCCCTGTGAACAAACCTGTGAGGTAGGAGCAGAGTAACTGAAGAAAGGCTCAGACCTCACAAAGAGACCACCCAAATGCTAAAGTAGTTCCAAACTAAAAAGGCCAACTTTCCAACAGTGGGAGAATATAAATTATTAAGAGAGAAAATAAGGAAAAATAATCTTTCTAATAAGTTTTTGGTGTTCTAGGCTAGATCTAGAATCAAAAATCACATACCACCTGCCTAGAAAATCCATGTACCTGGTTTATACTAAGAGTGAGACAAAAGGAAAGAGAGAGAACCACTTAGCATCTGGGGATATTTGATACAATGAGATCAAAGTTAAATGGTTAAATGGTGGTGAACACTATTGGAAAGTATGACATAAGCTATATACGACATCTATTTCAACACATCAGTTGTATCCTGGGCAGCTTACCACATTTCCAATCACAAATATCCTTAGCAAATTTAGGCCATTGTGATCAAATCGCTGTGTGTCCTAAAATAAGTGCATTCCTTCTGTTTGGTCTTTCTCATTCTCACTCACCTGCTCACTCCCGCTCTCTCATGTTCTCTCTCTCTCTCTCTTTCTCTCTACATATAAACATAAAATAAGTAATATATAATATACAGATGCAGTAATGTCCCCAGGTAAAGCATAAAAAAGTCAAACCATATAGTAATTTATTATTGATCTTTAATAAAAATATTTAAAATATGTCTTTTTATTTAGGACTCGAGAAGCTTGCACAAAAGGGGAAATCATTGTCCCCTTTAGCAAGTATAACCGGAATATCACTCTTTTTAATTATATCCATGTGTCTTCTCTTCCTATGGAAAAAATATCAACCCTATAAAGGTAGGTTAAAATTAGAAAGAAAATTTACAAATGGTTTTATATATGTGCTAAAAATTACCTTACTGTGTTTTTTTTCCTCTTGGTTTTAGTTATAAAACAGAAGCTAGAAGGCAGGTAATACATACATTTCTACAAATATAATTTTTTCTTGAATGCCTTTTCCTCAGTTATTATCAGTAACAGAAATGCCTCTTTGTCTTTTCAGACCAGAAACAGAATACAGGAAAGCTCAAACATTTTCAGGTAATGGCTATGCTGAAAGGGACTAATGTAATGTTAATGTATATTAATTAATATTGCTCATTTTAATTATTATATATAATGTACTATTGATGTAATAGAATTCATATAAGGTATGAACTGCTATAATGCAAACAATCCCTTAACTTTGAATAGTGCCCTCATTTTACAAAGTGCTATCCCTTGAATTGGTTTTACTGTAAGTCATACAAATCTGTAAAATAAACCTGAAAGGCACTGAACTCCATTTTATAGGCTAGAGAACCAAGGCTCAGAGATTAAGTCACTTGCTCACCATCACTGAGTTCTTCTGAATCCTAATTTATTGATCCTTTTATTATTTTGAAAATGCCCAAGACCCTCTCACTTCATTCATTCCTAAAGCAGGGACAATGCTGGCAGCTCCCTCCCCAGGAGCAGTGGGCAGGGAGGTTTGGCAGGTTTGCTGCTTCTTTGTCCCCAGCTGGCCCCCTTATTGCCCTTCACTATTGATTCCCTACTCAGTTGTTATAAATTAAGAATGGGGCTACCCTCCAGGCCTTGGAGTCACATGATGCTGGGTTTCAGTGCCCTGTATGCCACTTTTTCCCAATGTTACCTTGGGAAAATTAACTAATTTTTTCTGACCTCAACTTTCCTCATCTATATATATAATGGAGGTAATTACTGCCCCCTCCCTCCACCAGGGCCGTGAGGAGAATTAAATACACTGATGTAGGTGGAGTGCCTAATATGCCAGGATGCTTAGTGAATGTGGGTCTGCATCCTCTTATCAAGCCCCAGAGACCATCTGGTTCCTCCCAACCACCCCACTCCCATCATTTTACAGATGATAGTTTGGGTGATTTTGATATTACACTGCATTAGATTTTGTACCTATGGGCAGCTACAATAGTACATTATATATAATAATTTAAAATGAATAATATACATTATACATAGATATTAGTAGTTCTGGTGGTCTCTATTTTAGATCTGACAGGGTGTAATAAATACTATGTGTAGACTAAGAGATGCTGTGATTCCCAGGCTGAAGCCTTGGTGTGCTAACTCTCTGAGTTAGTTACAAAGGACAAAACTGCCCACGTGCGTTTATTTGACTATATGATACACCTTTCCCACATCAGGCTTTAAGAATAATTGTCCCAATTCAATTCCAGTTCTCAGCTTCGGAATGAGTGATTTCCAACACTGCTTAGTTGACAATATGACCACAGGGAATTAGGAAATGTTAAATTGGTTTTATACACATATCACTTGAAACAAACAATAACGGTAAGTTTTACAAAGTCTTAAAAAAAAAACTACAATAGCAGATGGAGGTATTTGATTTGTAAGTAGTATTTGTTTTACATTTCAGGCCATGAAGATGCTCTGGAAGACTTCGGAATATATGAATTTGTTGCTTTTCCAGATGCTGCTGGTGTTCTCAGGGTTGGTTTTCCTAATGGCTGATTAACCAGAGGTGTAAGCAGCATTCACTTAAGTGTTTAGGCAGTGTGGTCAAGTGGTTGCACTACCTTCAGCAGAGTTTGCTCGCTTTGTAAAGAAAGATGTTGTTGGATCTGCGGAGCTAAAGCATCTTTTGTGGCCTTTATAAATAAGGCTAACACGAATTAGGAAGTTACACTAATTCGTAAACGTTCTTTACCTGGTAAGCTCAGTGAAGAGAAAACCAGCTAGGTTGAAGTTCAAGAGAACCGAACAAATAGGGAATCAGGGACCCTGATTTAAATCATTTTGCATCACCTTGATGGCTACAGCCTGTCACTTCACTGAACTCTCTGTCTATACCTCAGTTTTTTCTTCACTTCCCCTCATGTTTTGCGGAGACAATTGATCATACCCTTATGCTGTTCAGAAGAAAGCTACTATGTAAACCCAAATTATGCAAGTGCACATCTTTACTTTTATCCTAAAGTTGCCTGCGATGCAAGAAGGGGAGCTTTTACACTGTTGAAACATTTTGTTTTTCAGTGTGCAAAGACAAGATCTTTTAAAACAATCAGTTTTGTTTAACAGACATAAAGAATGTTCTCTAAACTAATCAGCTCATTAACATTTTTATAGACTTTTGTAGGGCCTCTGCTTTCGAGTTCCCCTATAATAGTTCACTTAGGGAAGGGACCATAAACTGACTACTTGCTTTGGGCATTTTCCTTTTTTTTTCTTCTTAAAGAACTATTTGTCATTAGGGATTAGTTACCTCACCTGTTCAGTGAATTCTATCAATGTGTAAGGTTCATCCAGTAATTTTCCTAGCCACCGACTTTATTTCACAAATGCCATGTGAGTAATAGAGGGAGACTGATTGGATTTCATCCTTCTGAGGGCAAGTCGGCAACACCAGCTCCCACATCATCACAAAGCTTTGCACTGCCCTATTCAGTCTCAGACAGCATTGACTCACCTTTCACTTCTACAACCAAAAAGACAAAAATAAATATTTGTAGATCAATTATTTCAAACAGCTTCTCACCACAGCAGAAAGCACCCCTCTCAGGTGTGGCTTTTAAGTAGGAAAGCAGGAAACTGGAGAGCTAATAAGACTTAGAATTGAATTTTTGAAGCTGGGAGTTTCTTTATTTAAAATAATGCAGTTTGGGGGTGCCTGAATGGCTGTCGGTTAAGCGGCCAACTTCGGTTCGGGTCATGATCACTGGTGAGTTCCACCCCGCATTGGGCTCTGTGCTGACAGCTCAGAACCTGGAGCCTGCTTCAGATTGTGTCTCCCTCACTCTCTGCCCCTCCCTCACTTGCACTCTCTCTCTCTCTCCTCAAAAATAAATAAAACATTTAAAAATTTTTAATTAATAAAACAATGCAGTTTTTATTCCTAGGAATTCATTAGAAAGGAGTGAGATCTATGTAAAAAACTTAAAATTTAGCCTGTGATTAATCAGTACTCTGTTTCAAGATGTTATTTCGGAGGACTTCTATTTGCCCAAAATACTATAATCCCTAAGAACATGGGGCAGAGAAATGAACACTTTGAGTACATATCAAAAGCCCCACTTATTTCTGTCATAAGTGCAATAATGTAATTTGGAGCCATACCAATCTTCAAAGCCAAAAATTCCTGAGGAATCAGTGAAGGTTCTTCAACTGCTGGTGCCAGGTGCTTTGGGAAAAAGTGAGAAATCAACACCAACAACAGAAAGAAAAGCATGAGCAGCAGGACACGTGTAGGAGAACCTATGTGGGAAGAAGCTGGCATGGTGGTTCTGTGTAAAGATTAGCAGCCAAATGCAATGGCTTTGAGGAGAAAGGGAAAAATAATATTAAAACCAAGATATCAAAATTGAAGTTAAGAAGGAAAACAAACTCAATTACTAACTTTTGCGGTTTTTAAAAATGAGAATAATCTCTTGGCTTGTTGTGGCACATGTACACATGGACTCCTCCTCCTCCCTCTACTTGCTGGAATTTTGCTGTCCGTTTAGCACCTCTTTGAGGAATTGGACAGAAAGCAAGGGCATGAAAGGAACAAATTACTTGTTGCCAGCTCTAATATTAGCTTAGGTAAGTAAGTTAGTTATTATCTGTAGATTGCTTTTATCATAGGTCCTGGACACCCCCATACCAAAGAAAATCAAGAGTTGATCTCAAGTACACTTGACCCTTGAACATCATGGGGGTTAGGGGTGCCAACCCTACCCAGTCAAAAATCTGCCTGTAACTTTTGACTCCCCCCAAACTTAACTACTAATAGCCTACTGTTGACCAACAGTCTTACCAATAACATCAACAGTCGGTTAATGCATAGTTGTCTTATATACTGCATTCTTACAATAAAATAAACTAGAGAAAAGAAAATGTTGGGTGGTTCAGTCAGTTAAGTGTCTGACTTCAGATCAGGTCATGATCTCGCGGTTTGTGAGTTCAAGCCCTGCATCAGGCTGTCTGCTGTCAGCACAGAGCCTGATTCGGACCCTCTGTCCCCCTCTCACTCTGCCCCTCCCCCACTTGTGCTCTCTCTCTCTCTCTCTCTCTCTCTCTCTCTCACTCTCTCAAAAATAAAAAAAAAACATAAAAAAAAGAAGAAATGTTAAGAAAATCATAAGGAAGAAAAAATATATTTATAGTATTGTCCTGTATTTATTGAAAAATATGCATGCATAAGTGGACCTGCACAGTTCAAAGCTGATTTGTGCAAGGGTCATCTGTACAAACCGTAAACCAAAATCTCCTTGGCACATAAATGAGAGGATGAATCACATATCCTAGGGCTGCGCTTTGAGAACTTTAGCAAGTGGAATGGAAACAGTTTCCAAAGAAAACACAAAGCTAAGATGTTCCAATGTAACATAGCAGGCTAAACTGGAATGAGTTGTCAGATGATTTATCAAGGGCAAGAGTCCTCTAGGTGGAGCTGTATAAACAGGGAGGCCTGAAAATAGGAAATGTGATGAAAATCGGAATAGCTCGGGATGAGGAGGGGAACCAGACTTTACCTAACTAATTGGAATGCAATGTTTACAGGGGAAAAGAACATTATCGGATACAAGAAAGTGGAGTTAATAAAACATGAATGCCAGTTTTAATAAAAATGCATGTTGGCTTTTACCAGGCAGAAATATACTACAATACTTTCCACATTCTTCCAAGCCTTCAGTTTTTAGAACCCACTACTGCATTCAAACCAAAACATCTGCCTTTGTGTTCTATATTTCTTGGTACTTGTCTTTATTAACTTGCAGTGTGATCAGGGCTTTTGGTTGTGCGTTATTTTTTCTATTCAACCATCCTTGCGTGCATAATTGGCAAGTAGTGTCAAAAAGCTAACTGAGATGTAATATAAAAGATAATCATATATGCTCTCTGGTTCTAAGCTATCCTGATATCTTCTCTTTTGCTATTTTTTCTTTCTATTATATTTCCTTTACAGTACTGCCAGCTCTTTTTCTTAAATGAAGAAAAAAAAAAGCGATAGCTTTTGTCAAGCTCTTCCTCTTCTGACTTCATAGCTATGCTGCCACACAAACTACCATAGGGTAAGTGCAGGAAACTGTAGCAAGGAGAAATGAACATCGTAGGGAAGATAACCAGATCTAGTTCTCTAATCATCACTACTTCCAATTGTTTTCAACCATGCAGTAGAGTAGACACACTATTTACTAGTCTGCTAATTTTTTTTTTAACGTGCCACATTTTCTAGATGCCAAGCAGGTCTGTTCCAGCCTCTGATGGTGTATCAGGACAAGATTTGAACAGTACCATTTACGAAGTCATTCAGCACATCCCTGCCCAACAGCACGACTGTCCAGAGTAAGTATGAACTTGCATTTGGTGATGCTACTTTGTAGAGGCTCAGCATTCAGTCCCTGCTTTCCCCAGAATTTATTGAAAGACTCAGAAGAAATAAATTAAAACAGGAAATTACAGCTTCTGTACATTTGAAGAAATTTCCCCACTGGAAAATAATTTTAGGGAAAAAATAGATAAACACAAGTATCTCCTAGGATTGTGCACTTGGGCCAGTGGACTAGGCGCAGAGCTCTGGAATCCAGTGTTTCCCCCAGTGAGTCTACATCTGGGTATGAAACAGATTTTCAGGCAGGTTTGCAAGCCATTTTTGGTTATCTTGATGATTTTCCAATGACTGTGGTGGTTTTGGAGCCAATGATCTGTTACTACAAATAGGACCAGGAAAAAAAAAAACCTACAAAATATGCACAGCTCTGTCACCATCAAATGCCCAACCTCTTACAGATTCAAAGTAGTCTACTCTCAAGTGAACAGAATCACAGCAAGGACTGGCCTCACGCCCAGGGAGGATAAAACCTGAGCTGAGGCCAAAGCCAGGAAACTACTTACCTAGTTAACCTCAGGGCTGACACTAAGGAGTTGCCCTCCCTTCCCAGCCAGGGAGAAACTAAGCCTACAGCTTTTTGAAATAATGAAATGAACTTCCCTTTTTTGTGCTGTAGTTGCCCACAGGCATAACTGCCACAAATCATCTTCCATCGTTTCTTTATTTGTCATTTATTGACTTTGAAAAGAACATCAATAACCACATGGCAGGAACTTCCCCTCTGGCAAAAGAAACAGTGCTAGCAAAGTAATTCAGGCACACCTCTGGATAAATACCAAAAATAACAGCTAACAGTGGATGAATGCATGGGAAATCATCTTAGCAGGAGGAGACCAG